AACTTTCTCCGTATATAATTGAGTTAGTTGTGATTTTAATCTACTGTCTGACGCTCCATCAAAATGTTATCTGTAGTGTTACTCAACTTTCCAATCTTTAATCCTTAGACTAAGCTGTCTATCTCATGTATATCACCTTTTACGAGGCTGCATATATAACGAAACGCGTTACTTAATAAGCGGTTTCTAGTTAGTTTAATAGCTCTTACGTGCATACCAAATAACATTCCAAATGATTTTCCAGTGTAAAACTACTTGTTAAGACGTCTCATTGCAGATATCGTAATGTTAGATCACACCATTGCTCTAGAATTGGGTGTAGAACTTATAACATTCCCCTAAGTACTCACTTGCTTAAATCACGTTCTTGTCGGTTTGGTAAGTGAAAGTTCGTTAATACTTCATATTTTTATTTATCTTATTTAAAAATAAAAATTGGTACAAGGAGGTACCAAATAGATATGTGCCACATAAACCATTCGATTTATATGAGGGCTATGATATTGCTCGGGTGCCCAAACCGAAGCATTCATATTCATGTAAGTTAATCACAAAAACGTGGCTGCATACGTTGGTATTACCATATCTAAGTGGTGTGGATCTGTTGTCTGGAGAAAGACTTTTCAACCTTGAGTATGCGGATGATCACAATGGCGTTGATGTACACACTCTTTGTTCTCCCTTAAACCGTGAGATTGCAATCGCTCTATGTCTTTCTTTCTACGAACTAATTCTTTCTTCCCGTGCTGTATCCTTATACACAGTCTTTCTTTTATACATTACTACCATTGAAGTGACTACTTCTATGAATTTGGTGTTCTTGTTGTGCTAATGGGGTGTGGCAACTTGGACCGTTGTACATATGTGCCTGGTCCTACGTTGTAGACTGAATTACTGATTTGGCTGTTTGAAAAATGTAATAGGACAGCCACGTTTCACACAAGATATGGTTTGTATCAAATTACAAGGCGGTAACTTCTTATCGTGCGCATAATTGATTTGATTTAGGTTTAATACGTTTAAGAGGGAATAAAGCATTACATTCGTATGAAAATCGGCTCCATTTTATCGTCTCACTGTGCGATGATACCCAAGCCATGCAATCCTCACATAATCAGTTGGCAATTAGTGTCCGTAGGTATGGTATGTGCTTTGCATCTTCATAGTGCAAGGCACTTTTACGAGACTGACAGGACCCCCTAGATCCTGCACTTACCCTGAGCAGTGAGTAGATAGAAGTAGTCGAGAAGTTCGTGTATCTGGGTGGCTGCATAAGTGCTGGTGGTGACATGAGTGATGATATCAATCCACGTATAGTGAGAGACAGCGTTTTATGTCAATCTAAGCCATCTCCGGCGCCTTCGTGATGTTAGTCTGGCTGTTAAATGTGGGATCTACAACGCGTCGGTCAGAGCAGTCTTGCTCTGTGCCCGTGAGACTTGGCCTCTTCGAGTTGAGGATGTTAGACGACTGTGTTTGATCATCTTTGTCTCCGAAGGATTGCTGATATCCAGTGGCAACACCATGTTAATAATTCAGGGGTCCGGTATCGTGTGTTTGGGCACGGCGACGATAATTCAACTATAGAAACTATCTTGAAACACCGACTTCGTGGCTTCGTCACGTCCTATAAATGTCGTCCCAGAGAATTCCACATCGTGCTTTATTTTCCGAATCTGGGATTGGTTGGAAAGAGCGGAGAGGTGGTTAGTGAATGACGACGTGGTATGGAAGAAAGCTGCATAGGACTGGCTTCTGTTGGTCCTTCACGACTCGCTGGTTGGGGTCCTAGAGATAGTGCAACACAGTGGCTAGAGACGTTATCAGATATGGCGCAGAATAGAAGCCAGTGGAGATCCTGCTGTAACTTTATTTATAGAAAATGGACGCAACTTCTTTCGTTGAAATAATTCTTTTTGGTTGTATTTTCGCTAACTGAACTGTTTCTCCTATTATTATTATAACTCCCATACACTCATTTCTGTTCGTTGTTCTTGTTTTATTAAACGCACTTTACATTCTCTATCTCTTTAAAAACTCATTGTTATTGTGTGGCGCATATGCATTTGGTGCCCTCTCGTACCAATGTTTATGTGTTCAAATAGAAATCTCGACCATAGACCTAGAATAGCTGAGTGACTAGAAAGGGATTTGGCTGAAATATCACTACCAAAAAGTATAACGACTTCAGCAAATGTTTTACGATCCAAGTTTTATTTCAGATTTGGTCAGCGATCACTTATACATGATGATGTTGATGCTTTTAATACTTGGTTTTGTGTATTCTGTTACAAACTGTTTGGTGTGCATAATAATGAATCTCACAATCAAACAATTTGTAACAAACACGTTACTTTAATCTCTATGTGATGGTGAAAATGTGTTAAGTTTTTCAGTTATAGTAAAATATTTGTATTTAAGTAATATTTGATGTCAAATTATTCTTTGAAAGAAAACGTAGGCATTAAAGAATCCATTTTTTTTTACAGAAGAGAAGAGTGAAGCAGAACTTACTCCAGAAACACCATTAGAGGCTGCTTTAGCGTTAAAGCTAAAAGGAAATAAATTTTTCAAGGGTGGACAATACTCTCAGGCAATAAGTTTATATGATGAAGGACTTAAGAAATGTCCATTGGATGCAGTTCAGGTTAGTACAACTTGTGTGGCACATATGTATTCGGTTCCCCTTTGCACCAATATTTATATGCTCAAATAGATAAATACAGTACAACTATTATACTTAGTTACCTTAGTTTAAAATGTGATCAATATAACTTTTTCTTTGTTCACAGACCAAAAACTGATTCTTCTTCGTTCTTCAAAGTACCAATTCTACTTCACTTTAGAGAGAAGAGTTAATTTAGTGATTAAGGGGTTCGACTTCTAACCACTAGGTAGGAAGTTCGAGTCCCCACTCACCATCTTGTTTGGGTATCCGAATAGTAATCACTGACCCTCACACATAAAATGTGGCTGATAGCTGAGTATACGAATCTGTACTCGTTAAATAAGGTGCTTCATGATTATCATAACTTTAAATGCTATCTAGACTAGCTCACTTTCTGCATTCAACTAAAGTCATATGTGTTGTCTCAATTGTATATTGTACCGAAAAGATAATATTGAATAAAGCCATTAATAATAATAATAAATCAGGAATCAAAAACTCAGTATGTGAATCTAAGTTTCAAATTGTACAACCTACAAGTATTTGTTGTAAATATCATTTGACCAGACTTTTTACTATAATAATACGCAAATAAGATTCACAGCCTTCCTAAGCGACATGTAATCTAGAATCTGACTCAGCGGTGGTTAACTGTATCTAATTCCATCTACTTTTAACTTCCACTGGACTCACAGTCAAATTCTCTAGTAAAACTGAAGGTGGAAAGAGTCGGCTCTCTCCCAAAATGCTCTCATATGACCACGAATATACAGATACTAACATGGAAGTTCTACTCACTGCCTTCTCGCAGGGGAGTGTTTACGAAGTTGCGAAGACTAAAAGCTATTGTTTAGCGTGGACTTAAACCAAGTTGGTGGGTACGAAGAGTCCGCTCTTATTCCAAAACAAATGATGCACATGAGCTCCAGTATCCCAAGGGGACAAATGGCGTATGAACCTATTGTTGGCCATCGGCTACCACAGGACTGCATCTCCTAACGTTGTTCCATTGCTTTGTTGATTAGATTTTTTAGTCAAAGGCTCGGGAAAGAGCCCCTAAGAAGACCACTTCCGTTTTAGGCACCCGGGCAGTATTGCAGTCCACACAAATTCAATGATTTGTTGGACTTATGTATATTTTTGTTTGTGTGTTTAAATTAACGAATAACACTTAGCTCTAAACTGGAACTACGGGACACCATTAACTACAAAATAATCGAGGAAATTCCAGACCTACTCGAAAGGTTTGTAAGTCCAACGACTACCACTTTTTAGATCAGGGAATATAGACTTATTCGGATGACACTATCATCCTACTGACAAGACAATAACCACACTAAATTTACATAATTGAAACGCCATAAAATGATGTAAATGCTTTAACTTTTGTCCTGAATAATAGCCGTTATCCTTGATATTTTGATCACGTATGAGCTTTTGGAAAGCTGACATATGAGCTTCTCAGGACAAGTATTTACTTACGCCTGTTAACCATCATGGAAAATCATAATCCACTCACCAGCATTCTCTACGCAACTCTATCCTGGGCAATCATTTCCAGTTGCTATTCATCCTTTTCATATCTGCTTCCAATTCTCGTCGCAGTGTTTCCTTTGGCCTTCCTCTTTTCTCTTTCTCTTCAGGATTCCAAGTTATCGATTGCCTCGTGATACAGTTTGATGATTTCTTCGATGTGTGTCCTATCCACTTCCAACGTCTTTTGCTAATTTCCTCTTCAACTGAAAGCTGGTTTGCTCTCTCTCTCTCATAGGTTGTTTGTGATGGTATCTGTTCAACGGATGTTGAGTATGTTGTGTAGACAGTTATTCATTAATACTTGTTCCTTTTGATGATGGTTATGGTAGTTCTCGAAGTTCCAGCTCCGTACAGTGGGACTATCTTGACGTTCGTATTAAAGATTGTGAGTTTGATATTGGTTGAGAGTTGTTTTGAGTTTTGTATGTTCTCCAACTGTAGGATTGCTGTCCTTGCTTTGCTAGTCTTCGCCTTCACATCTGCATCTGATCCTCCTTGTTTATTGACGATTCTGTCAAAGTAAGTGAAAGATTCTACATGTTCAAGAGCTTCTGCATCAAGTGTGACTGGGTTAATGTTCTCTATTGGGTATTTAAGGATCTTTCCTTTTCTCTTGTGTATGTTAAGGCCTACTGCTGAAGAGGTAGAAGCTTTTGCTACACTGCTTGTCTTGACCTGCACTTGTTGATGTGTATGGGATAAAGGGGTCAGGTCATCTGTGAAGTCCAAATCGTCTAGTTGTATCCAGCCTGTCCATTTCACTCTATGCTTCCCGTCAAAAGTGGAGGTCTTCATAATCCAGTCAACCACCAGAAGAAAGAGAAAGGAGGAGAGAGTATGCAGCCTTGTCTGATTCTGGTCTTTACTTTGAATGCGTCTGTCAGCTGTCCTAGATGCACAACTTTGCAGTGCAATCCATCGTACGAATTCCGAATGATGTTGACGATTTTCTCAGGTACTCCATAGTGTCAAAGAAGTTTCCACCATGTTCTATCCACACTGTCAAACTCCTAATAGTCAGGGAATTTGATGTATAGTGACGAATTCCATTCAATTGATTGTTCAACGATGATCCGTAGTGTCACAATTTGTTCTGTGCACGACCGATCCTTACTGAATCTGGTCTACTGATCTCCTAACTAAGTGTCTACTGAATCTTTAATCCGGTTCAGCAACACTGTTGAAAACCTTTCCTGGTACTGACTATAGTGTGATTCCTGTGTAGTTCGCACATTTGCTCAGCTCTCCTTTCTTTGATATATTGATGAGGTGTTCTTCTTTTCAATCTGTCGGTATCACTTATCCTTCCCCCCAAATCTTCATGAATAGAGTATGAAGCATGTTTACAGTTTTAGGACAAGTGGTATGTATCGTCTACTTTCTCTTTAACTCAGTTTTATTTATAATCGATTTTCTTCATTTTTAAATAACCTAGACATTAGTCCTCTACAAATATATCAGTAGTAAAGAAATGAGGAAGGAGTGATAAACATAAACCTGAATTTTTGGCACGTATAAAATGGTAAAACAGTTCTGACGTCCAATCATTTTGAAAACTACATCTAGAACACTATATCAATCGTTGTAATGTTTATTATATTCTCATTTGTTTTATACCATATTTTGTACAGTATTTTATTAATTATTTAGGAACGTGCAGCTTTCTATCAAAATCGTGCAGCAGCCAAAGAGAATCAACGTCAATATGAATCTGCCATTGAAGATTGTTCTCTTGCATTATCATTAACACCGCATTATTTGAAAGCATTAAATCGTCGAGCACATTTATATGAAAAATTAAAAAAATGGGATGAGTGCCTTTTAGATATGACAGCTTGTTGTATTTTTGAAAAATTTAAAAATGCTGTAAGTGATTAGTATCATTAACTGATTTTCTTTTTCTATGACAATGATATGTATACTTATAGATTGTGTATGAATGTAACCTTAACACACTGTTCATTTGATTGTTTTACCAAACACAAGACACCTATGATTAGTTATTAGTAAATTATGTATCCTATCATTCTGAGTACTGGGTATATATTGATTACTACTGTGTATATGTGTCTACATATACATGGAAACTACTGGTAAACGTTGTGAGCATTAATGTTATTACTTAAGTAATATTTAAGCCGGCTTTAAGGTTCCAGTGTTTGTGCTCTGAATAACCTTCCGCATGATTATACAATGTGTTACAGATAACTTTTTGTAGTACACTATTTGACTGACCTGTTCGTGTTATATGATATGATATAAATACTATTTTGAGATTAGGTACAGAATTGGCGTTTAAGTTATCTGACTTGTATAGTAGGTATCCATTTGATATTATTTATTACATGCAAGTAGGGGAACTCATCGGTCGGATTGTCAACCATGATAATATAAATATTAACCAAGTGACATAACTCAAAATTAGTCACAGTCTAGCAAATGTTTATTCATTCTTATCTCCTTTCAATTACTAAGTTTCAGTGCTATTTTACACCTTTGATCTGAATTCAACTACTTAGTGTTTAAACTGTTTGACTTCCAACCACTCGGTCTCAAGTTCAAGTTCTATTCTACCTACTTTTGTCTGGGAACCCACGCCGTATCACTGTCATATTTAAAGTGTGGCTCAAAGCCAAGCACATGAATTTGTTCTTGGTAAATGAGTTAGATAATCGGAAACTTATGTTGATCCATATTTCTCCTAGGTTTTATATTAGTTGATTAACAGAGATTAACTTTACCAATTTTCGTCAGAAATCAATGTTTACATTACCAGGTATCAGACAAAAAATAATCACCATCATCATCATACTTCGATAAGGAGTCAAATTCATCGTTAATTTACATGGATCGATGTTTATTTCAATTTCGTATTCTGGTCCTGCTCTCTGTAATGTAACAATCGTTCACTGAGTTCCTGTGATAAGTAGAAGTGGTAGAATTCGGTATGCTATCTAGTAATTCCCTAGAATTGTTCAGTGCGAACTCTAATAGTCAAAAAAGAACTAGCGCTCAAATGAGAGAGGAAGCGGTGAACGCACTTGGATGTATTGTATTTTGTTATTCGAATAAGCCTCACAATAATGCCCACGGTAATTACGATTACATATACACATCACCGTTCCTTGCGTTGTGTTTTTATCAAAATAAATTGTATGGAGTGTACATATATAATCCACATTATTATTATTTATTTATTTATTTCAGGACAACATTGTTTTCATGGATCAAGTACTCAAAACAATTGGACAACAGAAAGCTCAAGAAGAACGTTCCAAATTATTGCATGAATTACCATCAGCTTCTTTTATTCGTAATTATTTGAGGTGAGATGATAGATGATCGTTTGCTAAGAACTAAAACAAACTTAGTAAACTCAAGGTTTATGTACCGAGCTTTTTAGATCCGTGTTTTAGATCCAAAAGTTGGCTATCCTATCCGTTTGCCTAAACCAAAGATGTCGTAAGGAGATTCGAACCTTTGGATCTTACTGTGGTCGAAACCAAATATTAATACACCGTGTCCGACGAAATCTCAATATGGGTTTTAAAAAGTTTGTTTGACTTTTGCTAGGTTCCATCACGTATGGTGTAGACGAATTGTTAGTTTGCCAACCAAAAGATGGTTACATTGACTAACTATACGTTCTCTTCTAATTTATGACTGTAAAGCGCGGCTTTTAAAAATAGAGGATCCCTACAGGTTATTAGTGTTTGACCATTCATGCTTTCCAAGCAGTATTGCTTCCGTGTTTTGTGAACAATAAGTGAGCGATACTAAAATTAGACTCAAGGTACTTGGGGAAAACGGTAAGTCAATTTGTTAGGTTTCGAGTCGTAATCGATTGATGTGGTTAGGACTTAATTAATATATTACTTGTTTCTAACGGCCGCCTGTGTTGACACCCTATGCTAGCTAATATAGGAGTAACTTGGAAGAAAAAAGATAAAGCTGCCCAAACTGAGACGTGGCACCAGCCCATCGAAATCACTGACTGTTCGATTGGGCTATATTGGTTGGGGTTCATGCCATTTTCTGTAGATGATAATTAGTGACGTTTAATGACATAGCTCGGATGTATCTGCTCTTTATCTTCCTTTTATGTCTTTGGTTGGAAACTTATCCTTTACGTTTTATTTCACTAATTCATTCCTTTCGAATCATATCGTCTATGCCTAATCGTTTCTTTGTACTACCATTGAGACTGTCATAACTTTTAATACTCTGGAATTTGTACTGATTTGGTGTTACAACTTGAACCGATGGATACATGTGTACCACATCCTATTTTGCAAATGATCGATTGACGACGACTGCTTACTGTGATAATATCCCAAGCTGCTTTAAATTTAAACATGTATTCATATGAATGATTGCAGTTTGTTGTATTTATTGTGTTTATTTATACTCAAATGTTGGTACAGAAGAGCACCAAATATATGTGTGCCACACAGTCAGAAAATGAGATTGTGAAGAGATAGATGAAGAAGGTTGCGGATAATCAAAAACAATGGATAGATAAAAATAAGTGAACAAAAGTAGTAAATTATGGTAAAAGTGGGTTCAGTTAAAAAAATAAAACTAGGACGAATCCTTTCAACCGAGGAAGTTCCTCTCACTTAAGGACTTCAACCGTGGGTTCACAAAGGACCGACAAACACCAATCCTGTGCAGTTTTCTTTCTTACCCAAGCACCATATCATAAAATGATCACCTTCCCACTTTTTCCAACCAGTTCCAGAGTAGTCGGCAAGTAATCCCCGATATGGAAGCTACTGGGATAATATTTGTAGCATATGTCTAGGCCATCGAGACGGATGTCTCAAGATGGTGACATCGGTCGGATTATTGCCACTGTCTGGACTCACATTACCGGATATCAGCATTGCTAACATGCTTTTACCATTAATATTGATTATCAGTGTTAGTTGTATTGATAATGTAACATGAACTAAACAGAAGACTAGTTTGTGTATGGTGCTAATACTGCCTTTAACACTTCTACTAAAGTTTGAGTGAGATAATCACTCTTATCACTTATCTGGTTAAATGGTTTTATACTTTTTCTCATGTGTCGATTGGATCTTTTTTTAAGACAGTTTAGTGTATGTATGTATGTATTATTTATGTACGTTTAGAAAACCCGTGATGTAAACAAAACATTCCTTTGCATGATCATCATAATAATACTACTTAGCGCAATAACTATATATCTTTTTACTAAATGGTTATTCAGGAAACAATTAAACAAAAAGACTACACTCATTATTTTCTTATGGATGATTTTAACCTTAAAATCTCTTGGTTTTTTCTTTTTCATCTTACTATTTTCATTGCTACACTTAGGTTTTTAATTTCAAAGGGTTTCATGTATTGTTTATACCAATGAGGATTGATTAGGTCACTCTATTCATGGGTGCGGATTTCAGTAGTCATACATAATGTATTACTGTGATCGTGGAACAATGACACTGTCGTAAAGGTCTTCGGCTACCAAGTTCTAAGCTAGAACTCATTATTGTATACTTCAGCTTTAGTAACTGAGTTGTGTCACTCGTTTTCGTACTTAAAATGTGCCTCAAAATCAAGTACACTAATCTGTACCTGGTAACTGAAGCAGTCTGTCATTATGAATTTGGTTGTTGCGAAAATTTAATATGATCAACATTGCATCTGAAGAAATTCAGTAGTTTGGAGCCCTTAGATTGATAAAATGTTTCTTCTGTAAAAAGGCATGAATTGGTATATTACTTAATTTAGATGAACCATCTCTCAACCAATTCCGAACTTACAGTTTTAATCAATATCCTTTCAGAGTTGAATAATAATTACCTAGGTAAAGCCTATCTAAAACTACTCATTAAAAGGGCCACCCATGACCGGCCTTAAGGAATTGTCCTTGGCTCTGTAGTCACGTTCTCAGATCGTTAAGAACCAACTTCAACCGAGTTAATCTTTTAAGGTACCTTAAGAAAAAGTATCTCTCCGTCGTGTGGAGAACCGAAAAACGGAAACCATCCTCACACCTCTGACACCATGTATTATAGTGCACGGTATCCAGGTCTGATATTTATACACAAACTTCCTATATACAGGCCTCGGCTGACTCAAAGCGCTGGTTTTGGGGCTTGATGTCATATATTCACCCCACTCTAAATATATCATGAAATAGTATATTTACTTCTGTAATATGACATTTATATCCCGGATATTCAATACTTGTATCGATTAAACTGTTTTAAATAAATAAAATGAAAGGAATGCCATATGAATACAGCCACTACCGTTGGATCTTTAAAAAAATCTATCCAAGTGTTTATAATCATTGATCATGAAATTTTTTCAAACTAGAAACAGATATCTAGAGATTCTCGTCCCAGTTTATGGTTTTTACTCCTATTGAACGATTTGGACTTGTTCACTTTTCAATTTATTTTTGTTGTAACTTGTTTACTATTCTTTATAATACAACATTTATTACTCTTACTGTATCAACTAAAAACATGTATGTGTGTCTAAACAGGCTTTTGAGATTTGTATTAAGCAAAGATTAGTGGATTTTGATTATCTATACACTATTTATCTATGTTCATATCTATGGTTACATGCTGTTGGTAGATGCAGACCACTTGGTTGGGGTCCGCGTGACTATCGTAATCAATGGTTGGAGACTCTTGGTGACATGGCTCAGAATCGATCACAATGTCGTCGGTGTATACACTCCCTGTCTTCCCTTAAACTAAGAGACTAAAATCACTTCATATCTTTCTTTCTACGAACTAATTCTTTCTTCCTATACTATATCCTTATTGCAACCTTTGACCTAACCACTCCTATGAATCCGCTGTTCATCTTGCTGTGCTGAGGTATGGCAACCTGGACCGATGCACATATGTGCTTGGTCCTACGTTGTAGCTGACTGACTGACTGACTGATGGTTACATGCATGTTCAGATTTCTACTTGCTCAGCTTTCTGTATAATCGTGATAATAATACTGTTTCTTATTTGTTTAAACCTAAATAGATAGAGATGTGATTCGAGAGTCCACTCTCCCTCTCCAAATGCTCTCACATGGCCACGCGTATATAGCCTCTGCCAGGGAAGTCCTACTCACTGGCTTCTTGTGGCAGGGGTGTTGTTTACGAACTTGAGAGGACGAAAAGCGAATGTCCAGCGCTTTAACCCGGTTGGTGGACATTGAGAGTCCACCTAGGGGAGGTGGAAAATACTGATTCCAAACCAATGGTGCACATGAGCCTGAGTATCCTGCAGCAACAAATGGTGTATGAACCAATTGTTGGTCACCGGCTACCATGGGACTACATCTCCCTACGATGCTCCACTGCCTTGTGGATCCGACCTTTATGTTGAAGGCTCAGTGTGTTTTCCCCCAAGAAAACCACATGCTTCGGTTTGGGCACCCAAGCAATATCACAGCCCACACAAAAATCTAGTGGCTTGTGTGGCGCATATGTATTCAGTGCCTCTTTTGTACCACTGTTTATGTGTCAAAATAAATAAATAAGTTAAAAAACGAAAGTAATATATCAAGTAATGAGTGTGATTTGATTTTGAACAAGGTAGTTGTCACTTTGCGGTTTCTCACACTCCGTGGTAGGGTACTTTTTAAATGAAGTTGCAAAGAAAACTGGGTCAGTAGTGGTCTTGACGAACTCGCAGCGTAACCACGACCGAACTACTTGAGTTTGACCTCATACCGTATTTTTATTAATCGATTTAAATGTGTTGGTTCTGAAACATCAAAATCTTATCACTGATGACCGTAATCAATGAAGCAAAGTAAGGTGTTCTTTTTTTAGGGTCTATATTTTCTTATTTCTCTCCTATTATGGAATGACAGCACCACTGAGGATGTTAGTTGATTGGAAGAAACAATTTATTACTGTCATAATCTGAAAGAACTAATATTTTAACCAGTATAGCTTAATTGAGTCATCATAATATCCAAGTCTAATTACCATGTCAGGGAACCAGTTATGGTCAGAAAGACGAGGGCTTTAACCAATTTATTACCTTTTATGTTTATTTCTTCATACTAATTAATCATTGAGTAAAATATGTGAAATTGTAAATTTTATTACAGTTAGAACGGTCATACGAATAAATATTTTGTTTTAACCACTAGTAATATTTAACAGTATAGCTCAAAGTCTGTTTTTCTTTCTATGTTATCATCATAGTCAGTTAAATGTTTGTGTACACACACTTATCCTAGATAGGATGAGCTAAATTAATTTTGAGTAATCAGTTTAATTGTTACTTACACGTAGATTCTTTTACATCTCATTATTTAATATCTCAATCTATTTCTAGCTTTTCGTAATCATATAATGAAGCATAAATAAACATTCCTCACTCACTGTTTCACAAAATGTTTGTGACAAATTTCGGTATATTGAGCTAATCATCATTTAGAGTCTTGAAGCTTTAGCTTGGTAATCAAGGCGTTCGATATTCAGTCACTAAGTCCCGGATTAGCAAACAATTAGAATTAACAATATTGAAAAAATCACTAATCATCGAAAAAATAGTTGCAAAAGATATGTACAAAGGAATACTAAGACTCGAACACCAGCGAGAAAACAACGAGTAAATACATTTGAACCGTCTCAGCCTACTCTGAACCACATCACTTAACGTCTCTAATCAGTGTGAGCGTAGATTCCAACCAGGTGGTCAACATCTGCTAGAGATTACGACATTTTCAGAATCATCTCAAGCTACGAATATTCTCCATCATCTCATTATTTTGTTTGTGTGTTTTCTTGTTCATACAGCCAATATTTAACAATTTTTTCCCTCATCCTTTTCTTCAATTTAGCGCATTCGCATGTAATCCATTCACAGTTAATTCTTCACAATTATCCAAGCATAATTCACTGACTGAAACTAAGACTGCAGTTAACGGAGTAACTGATGATCATCCTGTATCAAATATGCCCAGTACCACAGAAGTACCCAATAATAACAATCCTAATCAATATGATTGTACACAATTTAAAGAACCTCTTCAATCAGCGTTTAATAACGTAAATTCAGCCTTTGATTATATGACGAAAGGTGATTATCAACAGTCAGCTGATCATGCGATGAAAGCCGTTAATTTGTTCGAATCAGTGAGTGTTTCTTTTATTATAAATTCTGTTATGTATGATTGATAATATATATATGGTGTATAGATCTGTTTCATCTCATGGATTTCCATATAAGTATGTCTTCTGACGTTCATTGCTTCGTGAACTAGTCTTTAAGATCAAGGACGCAAATGATTTTTCGGGGAGATTGTTTTCTATAAAACCTACCAACTTCAATTTTGGCACATGTAGAAGAATAGGAGAAGAGACATATCGCTTACACAGAAGTTGGTATAAATCTTTTCTTAGGTGTTCTTTTTTTACCACCCATCTTTTCTGTGTCTTCTCAATAGATAGTTGGATCAGACTAATAGTACATCCACTCTTTGTCTTTGCTATGCTTGCCCACTATTCTTCTTCCTATTTCACTGTTTTATTTATTCGTGAATTGTATCTTGGATGCCTAATCTGTTCCATTATCACTAGTACTGTTACTACTTCTACTTCTCTGGGATTTGTCTTGATAATTTCGTCTTGTTATATCGATTTGGTATGTGAACTTAAAACAATAAACATTTGTGCTACGTATTCTACGTTGCATTAGACTGACTGTCTTAATAATGTACCTTCATTCCAATGCCTTTAGCTGAATCCGAGAAGTAAGTCCCATACTTCATGAGGGTACGATTATACGTTAGGCTAATCCGAAGTTGGTCAGATGATAAGAGCATGCGATCGACCAAGGAATGGCTTACATTTCTTAGGAATGAGACAGTTTTGCTGGTTTAATTTTTTAAGGGATGCATATATGAGTAAGTAGTCAATAAACTTCCTTTCTCACTCTCAGTCTTTCCCTTCGAACACCAAACAATACAACATTCAACTCTTTACTATTTATCTATCAAAAACAGTACACGTAAAGAATCCGTTTTTTAAAAAAATCACCATAAATTCATTTAAAAGCAAATATTATCCAACGATGAAAGCTCCACGACCAAACCATCCAGCTCAGAGAACAAAACTCCATCAAAATTATCCAATTGTATCACTATAATTTTCGATGAATATAATTATGCCATTAGTATCAATCACAATATATGTTAAATAAACTTTGATCAACGAGGTTACTACTGTTTTGGATTTCCCATCTTCTGAAATTTCTCATCTTTTTGAGTTTGGAATATCTGCATCAGTTATTTAGAAGCTGCTTTTGTGTTATTTCATCGGGCTTGTACAATCTTTTGTCATAAATGCAGTCAAAAGAAGAACACTATTGTATTGGAAATCTTGTTATGCGAGGAAATATAATGCATTCAAAAGAAAATATTCACAGATCTCACTGGATCTGGCTCGATGAAAACCACTGCCGATCATTTCATCATAAATTCAATAACTAACTTGCTCAATATAAATACTCTTTAATAAGAGAAACTTATTGACATTTGTCTCAAACTATTTTTCCATCATTTGTAATAATGTCTTCTAAGCATTGCTCACTTATGTTGAAAACAACTTCTAGGTGATGCTAAGATTATACTCAGGATACTAGGTTGTTAAGATAATGAATATTCATCGATTGACATGGTCGGGAAATGTATCACGTGTGCCGCACCACCTATTTGAAATGTTAGTTGTTGTAGGGGTAGATTAAAAGAAAAATAGGTGACCAAACCGATTTGCGACATCAGTACATAAAGCCACTGATTGCTAGTCTGATGTGTGGTAATAGATGCAGACTACGTGGTTAAAGTCTGCAAGATAACTATGATCAGTGATTGAAGACTGGGTGATATGGTTCAGAATCGTTCACAATGCCCCAGAGGAGTTCATTCTTTATCTTCTTTGTTAGATTTTAAATTTTAAAATGATCTTATACCTATCATTCCACAAATGCTTTCTTCTCACGCTATAATATACATGCTTAATGTTTTCTACCACTAATACTGTTACTACTTCTACTATTGTGCTATTTGTCTTGATAATTTCATCTTGTTATGCTAATGACGTATGGAAACTTGACTCAATACACATTCGTGCTGTGTGTCCTACGTAGCATTAAGCTGACTGTCTACTAATCACTATAAATACTGCTATATATCTGTCTGTTTGTTTATTGTTTTTACTTAGATCTTATCGGATAAGTCGTTCGCAGATGTAAAGAATTTGATCAATTCATCATCTGAGTTAGATGATAGTGAAACAATTTCAAAATCAAATGATAATCTCATCTCTCCTGAATCTAATGGACATAATGAAAATGAAAATGAATTGGACAGCAAAGAAAACAATATCGTCACCACAACTTCAAATAATACTGATTCCCTCAATAAAATTAAAACAAATGAATCTATTCAAGTGTATATTAAAGAAGTATATAATCAAATTTCACTTTTACACGCTACTTATCAAGCATTAGCTGGACGTTCTGAAGAAGCAAAAGAACGTTTTCAAAATATTGGTATGGTGGACTCTGGAGCTTCATTAGTGGTTCGTGTTAATGCATTGATTAAATCTGCATGTTTATCAATGTCAGTTGATCAAGTAAGTTGAATCGATCTGTGTGTTTATAGTTGAGCTTTTACTCTAAGATATTATTTTAGTTTTAAATGGGATTTTTTCGTAACTAGGCATTGTACATTTACTTCACCAACAACCGAATAAATCATCATGGCTATCAGACACTTCAAATATGGGAAATCATCAGAAGCAGACGATATACCAGATGAGGCACTGAAGTCAGATATAGAAGTAACTGCAAAGATGTCTGACATTATGTTAAAAAAGGTTTGAGAGTAAGAACAAATAAAAACAGACTTGAAGGAGGATACTTCGTCAAGCTAACGAAAAAGGAGAACTGAATAGTAATCACGCTGTTATCAGAACCGGACAAGATTTTCAACAGAATTGCTGAACCGAATGAAAGATTCAGTAGACAAACAATATCGAAATCAAGACGTTGAATTACGTGAGCATCAATCGAGTATCGACCAAATAATGACATCACAGACCATTGTTCAACAATCAATTTAATGCAACCCATCACTATACATCAACTACATGACTATGAGAAAGCATTCGGCAACGTGGATAGGAGAACTTTGTGGAATCTTCGACAACGTGATGTACACGAGAAGATTGTCACCATCATACGGGATTCTTACAACTGGTTACACTACAAAGTTGTGTGTGGATGATAGCTCACAGATGCATTTCAAGTGGGAGAACAGTGTCAGACAAGGCTGCTTACTCCAACCCTTTCTCTTTCTTCTGATGATCGACTGGATTGTGAAGACCTATACATCTCAGGGGAAGCACCGAAAACAGGGGACAGATTGCATACAACTAGACGATTTGGATTTCGCAGATAACCTAGCTCTTCTATCTCATACACACCAACAAATCCACGTGAAGACATCTGGTGTAGCAACAACCTGTACATCCGTATGTCTCAAAATACACAAAGAAAAAAGCAAGATTCTAAAATACAACATAGAGAACATCAACTCAATCACACTTGATGGAGACGCTTTGGAACAGGTGAAAAGGTTAATGTACCTGAGCAGTTCAACTAGTAAAAATGGGGATTTGATGCAGATGTGAAGTCGCGGACTGTCAGACAACACCATAATCATAATTTTCAATACGAACATCAAGACAGTTCTATTGTACACAGCTAAGAATCGGATAACTACTACAACTGTCATCAAAAAGGTACAAGCATTCATAAACAGTTTTCTACGTAAAATACTCAATATCCGTAAGCTACACAAGATATATATATATATATATATATATATATATATATATATATATATATATTTATATATATATATATAATTTTTGTGTGGAGAAAATCTTTGATCATTTCGATTTCGATTGGTAGTTCTAAGAATCGGATAAATATGATATTGATTTTTTCTTCTCACCAATTAATCAGCGTAAATATCTCAGTCCTACAGGAAGATGATTAGTCAAAACTGGAATAAGTTATTGTGATAACGTCGTTGATAGTAGGTGACATGGATTTGGATCCTAGATGGGAAGCATTATTTGAGATTGTTGGTACACCTTACTAACAGGAGCCAATTACCGTGGAATAAAGGTCAAGCGAGTTTTCAGGATGATTACGTCGAACCCACCCATTAAACTTATTTGTAAACGATGTTTAACTTGGTGTCATAATCGGACCATAAAATTCCATGACTGTTGGTTTAAAACAAGCTGGTGGACGCAAATTACCTGGTTGGAGTCTGTACGATAATGGCGATTGTTGACTGGAGTTGCTTGAGGATGAAATGGATCAGGAAAGTTCACAATAGCACAGATACATTCGTTTCCTTTCTTTATGTCTTGGATTTCAATATTTCCTCACATACATCTTTTCAATAAGCTTTTTCCTACTATATTATTGATCTTATTAATGTTCTTGTTAAATTATTTCGATTTGGTTTTTAATTAGTCTTGGAAATTTCACTTCATCGTATCGATTTGGTATGACAACTAAAGCCAAAGCTCACTTGTGCTGGGTTTTACTTTTATGATAATTGGTTGACTGACGTCAGCAACATGACCTTAAACTTCACGAACGTAACGAGTTGTTAGAATTTCTTCACAAGTTGTAAGCGGTTCAAACCAATTGTTCTGATCTCGACATATTCAGATATTATTGATTGTTATCAGTGATTGTGCGCGCGTGTGTGTATGTATCGTCTCATTTTCCGTGGATCGACTTTTTGTATTATTCTTTTCTCTGATTCTTGATTTCCAACCTTTTCGTTACATTATTTTTCATTTTCCGCTGGAGATAAACCTGTTTTGATCTCCAGGTTATGATACACTATACAAGCATATGAGATGAAATCGAAATAAAATGAATAGCAAAATAGTCTAAATGACAATAATATTACCAATGATATTAAAAAGACGGAAGTCTGATTAGGCCTAATATATCAGAAGCTCCTGGTATAAACTATTTGTACATAAATTTACATTTTTTTAAAGTGATAATTTTTCACACTCATATTTTACAGTTTATTGTATCATATTTACCTTCATACATATTTTTCACATGCATAGGATGTAGCTGCTTGTCTTTATGATTTCCAACGTGCACAAAATGTTTGGCCTGAATGTCCGGATGTGTATCTTCATCGAGGTCAAATTAATCTATTAGCTGATCAATTAGATGAAGCATTGCATGATTTGAATACAGCTGTTAAATTAAAGCCGGAATTTTCAGTTGCACAGGTTAGTAGTTGGCTATACTTATTTGTGAGTTTTGGTGGGTAGGTGGGTGAGTGGACTGTTACATAACGAATCAATATAAGCTGGAGAATGATGATCGTTTATTAGTGTCATTGTTTATGGTTTTATTCAATATTATTTATTCAGTGCAATATTGAATTCTCAGCACAAAGTATTTCAACAAGTTTCCGTCTCTTATTTCCTGATCGATCCTGACAATAAATATTGAGTGATTGCTAGTTAAATGTTAGCAGTCCAGGACTCGACATCCGAATAATATTCCTTCCTTTCAATACATATTGCCAACCACCACGATGTCTCTGATGATTGTACTTCTTTGTAACTTGTACAGTGAAAGGTCGTAAACATTTCATAAACGCGTCTGAATAGATTATACGAATAATGGACATAACGATGTGTTAAGACAAACAAAAGGCAGGTAGCTTGTTGAAATATCTAAATGGAAGGAACAGATAGTCTATATAGTCAAGCAGGTCGCGTGATGATGATATTTCCTAGTATTTAAATCATTCAATATTTACTAAGCCACAACTTTCTTATCACTTGTTAACGTGCATTTAAGGATTTTACTACAAGATCTTCATTTAAGAAATATCTATATCAACATTGCGCAATGATGTCTTGTATGTTCAGAATAGTCGTTTATTTATTTATTTAAACAGGAACATTGGTACACAGGAGAATAAGATTTATGTATAGGACATACAAATAGTTGAACTTATGTATAAGCTGAGATACTGTAAGGATGCCCAAACTGAAACAGGTGATTTTGTTAACAGCCAAAGAGTATTTATTTATTTATTTGAATACATAAACATTGGTACAAAGGGGCACCAAATACATATTCGCCTCATGATAACAATATAGCCAGTAGTAGTTATCATTGATTTGAGTGAGGGCTGTGATAATGCCTGGTTGCCCAAACGGAAGCATCTGGTTAGTTTGTGTTTTTACTAATAGTTTTATGGGTCTACATTACCGTACTGTATCATTGAATATGCAGTGAGCAAATTATTTCAGTTGATGTGAATAGAGAAACAAAAAAGCCATGACGAACATCTGAAGCTATTTTTGGAAACATTATATCACTTAATTCAAGGTTTGTAAAATAATAATATTTAGTTTTATCCCTAGGTTATTCTATAAACCATAAGCTTTCGTTTGATAGGCAGTGACAGAGGCGGTACTTTTGATTCTTAAATGGACATAATTCCACAAAATGTCATACTTCACAAAGCCAACATTTTGATGGTGGTTTCTCAGTAGGTTCTTGTGTTTTTGCTGTGTTTTGTTTAGAAGATTTTAAGGATTCGACAGCATTCACTGACCCGGAATAAGATTTCGCCTTCAGTCAAACCATCGCTGTATCATGTTTGAGATTTAACAAACGTTGAGACTTGGTTGTGACCATTTGAGAAGTGATGTTAGGCTCCTACTCAATGTGCATTAATATTCTGATGCGGATGTCAACATCTGCAAATAAAAATCAAACATTTAAACTGATCTGCTGTAATTTCATTAACTTTTTTAATCGTTCACATTCTCGATTTACTTTTCCAGCATCATCGGGTGGAGATTATGATATTTGAAAACATTGGTAGCGAGTGTGAAATGTGCCGTAGTTTCTGAATATTCGTGTAAAGTGGGATGATACAGTCCTAATGTTACCTAAAATTTTAGTAGATAGTCTTCATTATTCAACTCTTGCTATCAATGTTTCCCAATATCAAAATCTCTACTGATGAGTTCTAGATAAAATGAGACTCACTGCCTAAATTCCACTGCTACTACTAATATTCTATCCTAATGCTTAACTTTTTGTGTTAAGTAATCGTTAAGTAACTTTTGTTTCTGCCCGTAATGATTCTGAACCTCGTTGGTTTATAAAATATCCCTATTAAAATATATCCTACTGTGTGTATAATTCCCTAATGTTCATCCACTCTTTTTCGCCCTAAAATATAATTTGTTTGTAATTTACATTCGTTATTGATTTAATTTTTTCTCTGGATTGTTTTTTCTGCTTTTTGAATTTTAGGCTCAGCGTTTGTACACTTTATATCGATGCGCATTAACTGCTGGTGATGTTAGTAAAGTGGATTCTCGTATTGAAGAGTTTCGTCGATTAGTAAAGAAATATCCCAATTGTTTGGAAACTCATTCTTTATTTGCTCAGGTAAGATAGATATAGACTAATTTCCAGGTATTTAGGTATGAGCCATACTAATTGTAAGTGTTAATAATACTACTTTGTTGCCGAAACCGAATTAGGCGGGAGGAGGTTCGAACCTAGGAGTTAGTGGTCAAAAGTGCGACTTTATAACCACTGAGCTGTCTACTCTTATAACGACTATTTTATATGTGAGAGTAGACAGTTGTGACCAGGAGGGCATATACTTCAACATATTGCTTATGCATTAGAATATCAGGTTTTCGATTAAGTTTGTGGGTTAATGAGTGCATTCGATCAGTAACTGAAGTTAGCGATTTTGTGTTGTCACAGACTAACTGTTTACAAAGTGATTGAAATTCAAATAAAAAAGAATATGATCTCAAGCACAGTGAGATCATTCAAAATCACTTATGTTCAGAACTTGATTTAATTCCCAACTAAATCAGACAAATCTCTTACTTCATATTCTTATTTCCTAGTTAATTCCATCGTAATATATGAATACAGAATACTATGAAGAAGATATTTATACTATCAAACACTGTCACATACATATTTTGTCTGATTTCCAGAGGTGACTTAATTTCACAGTCCTTGGATAATACATATAAAGACTCCTTTTTGGGTATGCTCAGTTTTGTAAGGAAATTCGCTACATTGTAGCTTTAATTGTTGCGTAATCTTCATATGGAGTGTGTAGATCATTTCTATGAATTAGCTCTGTGTGTGTGTGTGTGTGAAAACGTGTTAGCACTTTAAGAAACTTAAACTCTACCAGAAAAAAAAGAAAACAGTTTACTCTATTCATCATCTCAAAGTGGGATATTAATGCTGCATTCTGAACGAAAACAAACATCATGAGAATTCTGTTATGCAAAACGTTTTTTTATCTATAACGTTAGGATTCATCTACGCTGAAATATAATAGAAAAACACTTGAGAGTATGTTAACCATTTGGCTTATCATAAAAGTTTCAACTTTATTGGGTGGTGTTCAATTGTGCATTCCTGATACACTCATTAAAACTTTGTGATGATTTTGTCAAAATAAGGAAAAATCCAAGTACCTGTTAAGGAGTTAGAGTCTATTTTTGTAGTTACCAGGTCTAACATCGATATTAGTTAATATGAATATTCAATCCCACCAGTTGATATGGTTTTATTCCTTCTTTTAAATCATGAACAATTGAAATCTTAAGTTTGAAACTCATTTTACTTGTTGATTGTTTCTCTCAGATCAGGAAATTAAAATACTCTATTATTATTATGATTACGTGCGTGACAAATAAGTAGTTACTTATCACATTTACAAGACACACAAGGGGCTAGTTAATGCGATGTATCAATCACTCTCAATACGTTGTTGTTGTTGTTGTTCTTGTCATCATAGTGATCTGAAATTGAATAACAGTTATGTGGATGCTGTTTTTTTGTTTGTTTGTTTGTTGCTATAATAGTATTACTGGTATTTTTTTTCATATGGCAACAACTTATTTCAATGATTTCATGATTATTTGCCTTTAGATTAGATTTCTATAAACATTAGTTTAATCTCACTTGGTATTGTTTGGCTTGTATCTTTTCATTGAGGTTTAAGACTGTAATTGATCAGTCTGTTATTGGCATATGCGCATACTGTGCGTATGCCTCGATATTACCTTAATCCACTGCTAGCCACTATCCATCATTAATTTAATCTATTAAGTAATGATTAAAAGTTAGTGAAATTACCTTAAGATTAATCGATAAACGTCACTGTGCAAATGTGTCAATGTTTTTTTGTTTTTTACTCAGCAAAACAAAAACATTTCTCGGTTTTTGTTTTGTTTTGTGTATTTGAAGACGGAGAAACATTCAGTAATTTTTGTGACGATTAGAATTTGAAAAAAAACAGGCTGGTTTATTCGATTAGAGAATTTTTAAGATGATGAATCCAAATTGATATGGCTATTATTATTATACGGTCACATAGTCAGTTACCCAGTTAAACACGCCGTAGACTTTGATACATGTTTATATCGTTTTAAGTTTTTTTCATACCCCATTAGCACAAAGAGATAAAAATTTTCTGAATAAATTCTAGAGTAATAGAGATAGTGTGATTAGGAATTGAAGATCTAAGGAAAGAGACTGAGGTTGAATACACTTTCATCATTGCGGATGATTTTAATCTATATCATGCAAAATATCCAACTAGTAGTTATGATAGTAAAATGGATCCCAAACAAGTAGTATGCACTTGTTAATATGACTTCGTCCTATTGTTAATGACTTTGTAGACTAGTATCACATGTTGGTTTGATCTTTCCTAGCTTTTTTTGAGCATACTATTACACCAACCAACATGGATGGTCGAGATGGGTAGTGGATGGACATATGTAACACATATCCTAATTACCTCAGTTGATAAAAATTTACTGCTTCGTCAGTCGACTTTTTATTTTTACCTAGTATTCTATGTCTAACCTCATTATTACTCACTTGGTGGTTCTGAAGTACAAAAGTATTGTGCTTAGTTTAGTTTGAAGTACTGAAAATATTCATTTCTTTTGTGAGGTTAATAATTGATTGGTTTTGAACTTTTGTTAGGTTTACATGTCTAAATGAACTCGTCAATACATCATATTTTAGCCTATACAATGAATCATAAATATTGTTAAGACTTGTGATAAATGTGTAAGTAGTTCAAGTTGTCCAATTTCACATTCAGTCAGTCAGATACAACGTAGGACCAGACATATATGCATCGGTCCAAGTTGCCATACCTCATTAACACAACATGATGAACACCGGATTCATAAAAGTAGTTAATTCAGAGGTGGTAATATATAAAAGAAAGATTGCAATAAGGATATAGTACAGGAAGGAAGAATTAGTTCGTAGAAAGAAAGATATGAAGCGATTTCAATCTCTTAGTTTAAGGGAAGACCGAGAGTGTATACACCGACGCCATTGTGATCGATTCTGAGCCATGTCACCAAGTCTCTAACCATCGGTTATGAAAGTCAGGCGGACCCCAACCAAGTAGTCTGCATCTACCAACATGGCTCAGACTAGAAGTTAGTGACTTTGTGGACTGATGCCACGTTTTGGTTTGGCCACCCCTAACTTTCTTCCAACCATCCCGAACACCGTTTAGCATTGCACTTCGTGGTAATCGGTGTTCAGGCATACGTAACACGTGGCCCAACCATCTCAGTCGATGAAGATTCACAACCTCATCAACTGATTTATCATCATTCCCTAATACCCTGCGTCTAACCTCACATTATCATGATCTCAACAGACAGATAGATAGATAGATATCATCAACATAGATCCTGGTACATATGTAAGTTGGTATAGATTGTCATACAAGATTAACATAACAAGATGAGTATGACAAATGAAGTCGAAATAATGTAATAACAATTATAATAAGAGAGACTCAATTTTAGGAATATAGTTTCAAAAGACACAATGAGAAAAGATGATAAAGAGTGAACACATTTATCCTACTTTGATTGGAAGTCTTTGACAATTGATTTCAATTATTAACTCACAAACGTAAACAAAGAAAACTTGATTCTTTTCTTAAGAACTCAATCTCTCTACCTTTCATACTTTTGATTCCTTGTTTTAGTATTAACCGATCAGCGATTGCATGATATTACTTCAGTAACACCAGTTATTAAATACTAACAGATGGTGCATATTTTCCACTTCCAAAGATCATTCATATTACCTGATTGTTAGGTAATGTAGACCGAAGTGCTGTATAATTATACTCATCTTTAAAAAAAACAATATACAATAAGTATATCATTTTCACAGTAAATGGCATTTATAGACATAAATGATATAAGCGTTTCGAATTATTGAAGCAATTTCGTTAACTGTCAACCAATCCATTCATATGTGAATCGATCGTTTCATTTCGTTTGTTGAGACTGTGAACGTTGACTTGGTGTAATATCATCATGTAACTCGGTCAATGACCGAATTATAAATTTCTGTATTTAATTTTCAACTAAACATTTTGTAAGTGCTAGTAGTAATAATTGTCTGCTAAAAGAAACTATCTTAAATGGTCAGTGCAGCCTTCAACCTGTTCAGCGTGAATGTGTGTGTGTGTGTAGAACATCAATAGCGTGTTATGATTATTAATCCATTTGTTTTTCTAAAGCAAAATTCATTATTGAATGGATTAAACATGTTTTGCCTAAAAATTGTTATCAATGATATACATATTTATGTTCTTTTTTGTCCCCCATTATCATTGAGTTCCATTTTGCTCCTCCCCCTACTACTACTCCTTTCAATACATATAGATCCTGTCTGAACGTGGTGATTTTAAAGAGAGTGATAAAATATTTGCTGATCTAATAACACTTGCACCAGACTCTGGATTAGCCTATGCTCATCGTGGCCTATTACAATTAAAATGGAAACAAGATCGTGATGCAGCATTATGTTTCTTTATAGAAGGTATTCAAAAAGATCCTAAATGTGAATTAATTCATGAATTACTTGGTCAATTATCTGTAGAAAAAGGTCAATTCAGTGAAGCATTAAAACATTTTGATATGGCAATTAAACAAGCTAAAACACAAAATGATTTATCACATTTAATTGCATTACGTGAAGGTGTTAATGCACAATTAAAAGTATGTGAACAATATAAAATATCAATACCGGATGTTTTGTCAAGTATACAACATGAACAACAAAAATTCTTAATGGCTATGCAAGAGAAATTGTAAAGATAATTAAAATAAACAAACAATAAAATTGACTTCCTGTCTTATGAGAAGTAGCAACAAGAAGTATGCGAGAAAGAAAAAAACAACAGACTACTTACATCAGCAACTTTGTTATTATTTGGTTTGTTTTTCTTTTTCTACAAGGGCAACGGAACATTTGTGTTCCCATGTTGTTGTCTTTTTTTTGTATAGAAAGAAAAATTAATGACAATCATTTATAGATCATTCCATCTTGATTAATTAATCTGTTTGTCCCTTCCCCCCTCTCTCTCTCTCTTTATCACATCGATACTCATCCATGTTTCAAATTTCCTTGATTTTTTCAATTAGGAACGTGTTCTGATTTAGTGCACATTTGTTTGAACATTTTTATACAGTTATATATATATATATATATATATATATATATATATATATAGAGAGAGAGAGAGAGAGAGAGAGAGAGGGAGACACAATTCATGGATGGTAGAACTAGTTTGCGAAAGAATAGAGAAATACATGATCATTTTTGAATAGGCTAAGTTATTAGGGTGTTAGTCATTCAACCATTAAGGATTAAGTTTGAACTCACTATCTACTTAGATTTGTGTAATCGGGTAGTATTGCTAGCCGTCACAATTTGGGTGTAGCTGTGAAAGCCAATTACATCAGTCAGTTGGTTACAACGTAGAACTTCATACGTACATCAGTTCAAGTTGCTATACCACATTAGCACAAAGACACAATTGTCGTTTCAAATCCCATAGTGGTAGAGGTAGTAAAAGTATAAGCAGTGATCGGAAACATTAGGGTTTGAAGATGTTATTCAAGGAGTGTAATTCAGTGAAATAAATTTGGGAAGAGGAAAAGGGGACTTGAAGAATTCAGAAGATTAGAATTTGGGAGAACACAAAAAGTGGATGCACCTGCGCCATTGCAAACGATTTTGAGCCATATCACATTCAGGGTCTCTAACCATCGGTTGCTATCATCTAGCGGATCCCAATCAGACAGTCCTACACATACCAACATGGCTCAGTCCATTTGTCAGTGACTTCATAGATTTGTGCCATGTTTTGGTCTGACCGCCCCTAGCTTTCTTCCATCCTACTCCTACACCATAAAACATCTCACGTCGGGGCAGTTAGTGGTTAAGCATACGCAACAAGTGTCCCAACCACCTCAACTGATGAAGTCTCACCACTTCATCCTTACGTAGTACCCGTTTCCTAACAACTGTGTTACTTTGTGGTCCCACGATATACAACCAATGTTTCGAATACATCTATGATTGAATACTAGTAAACTACAAATATTTTCTACTCTTACCGGCCATGTTTCACTGCCATAAAGTAGGACGAAACGAACTGCTGCTCAGTGTGGTAGACAGACATCTCTCCTATACTATAAATGACACACGTTGGAGAAAGCTAGTGGAGCCTTCTGTATCCGTGCTGATATTTCGTCACACATCAGACCAAAAGGGCTGATGAGACTTCCAAGATAAGTGAAGCGGTCAACACTCTCAATTAATCCACTCCCTATCATTAGTTCAGGTGTGGGCGCTACTCAATCCTGAAGCAATATTTTGCGTTTCGAGGAAGAGAATCGCATCCTGAACGTGCTTGCATCGTTGCTTATAATAGTCAGAAGACTGTATTTTGTCAGCGTCTTCACCAAACAGAACTATTTTATCGGCATATTCTAAGTCAACAAGTTAATCTCCTGGTAAAAGTTCAACTCCTGGAAATTTAGATGAAGAAATTGTTATCTCGAAGATCAGTTCAACGACAAAGTTAAACAAGAATGGAGTGAATGGGAAACCCTGACGAATACCATTTGAGGTAATCAATTGTGATGATAGTTCGCTATAAGCTCTCACTCTACCAGTTGTGTTCGAGTAGAGAGCCTTTATAAGGTTAATGTACTTCTTTGGCACTCCATACAACCTCACGACCAACAGTCAAATGCCGCTTTTAGGTCGAGAAATACCACTATTGTGGGATGTCTGAATATGTGTCTATGTTCTAGGACCTGATGTAGTGTGAATATCTAGTCTATACAACCACGTCTAGGTCGGAAACCAACCTGGTTTTAGTCTGCTTTGGTTAGGCGTCGAAGTATTATTGAAACATAGTTTATTTATTTATTTGAACACATAAATATGGGGCACCAAATATATATGCGCCACATAAAACATTGAGAATGGGGAGAGAAAAAAGGTACGGAGCGTAAATGAAAAAGAGAAGAAGCGGAACAATAACGATCAGATTAGTGTAATAACAATAATGAGGGAAACGGAAAGGTACAACCAGAAGAAATCTTTCAGTTAAGGAAGAAACAACCACTTCTTATGAAAGGAGTTACAGCAGGATCGCCACTGGCTTCTATTCTGAGCCATATCTGATAACGTCTCTAGCCACTGTGTAGCACCATCTCTCGGACCCCAACCAGGGAGTCGTGAAGGACCGACAGAAGTCAGTCCTTTGCAGCTTTCTTTCATACCACGACACCATATCATGCACTGACCACCTCTCCGCTTTCTCCAACCAGTCCCAGAGTCGGCAAATAATTCACGACATGGAATTCTCTGGGACGACATTCGTCGAATATGTCCAAGTCACCGAAGTCGATGTTCCAAGATGGTGACATCGATTGCATTATCATCTCTGTGCCCGAACACACGATGCCGAACCCCTGAATTACTGACATGGTGTTGCCACTGGATATCAGCAATCCTTCGGAGACAAAGGTGACCAAACACAGAGTCGTCTAACATCCTCAACTCGAAGAGGCCAAGTTTCACAAGCATAGAACAAAACTGCTCTGACCGACGCGCTGTAGATCTCACATTTAACAGCCAGACTAACATTACGAAGGCGCCAAAGGTGGCCCAGATTGGCATAAGCCGCTCTGGCTTTCACTATACGTGAATTGATATCATCACTCACGTCACCACCAGCACTTATGCAGATACACGAACTTCTCGACTACTTCTATCTACCATCCAGGGTGAGTACAGGATTGGAATCCTGCCAGTCTTGTAGAATTACTTTGCACTTTGAAGGTGCAAAGCACATACCATACCTACGGACACTGATTAAGTGCGGATTACACGGCTTGGGCATTATCGCACAGTAAGACAATATCATCCGCATACTCAAGGTCGAGGATTCTTTCTCCAGGCAACAGGTCCACACCACCATTACTTACATCCATCAGAGCTGTTTCCAGAATGTCATCGATGGCAAAGTTGAAGAGGAATGGTGAGATTGGGCAACCCTGTCTAACCCCACTGCTTGAGTGGAACAATAGAGAAAGGTGGTTGTATGCCCTCACTCTGCCTGAGGTGTTTGTATATAGGGTCTTTAAGATGTTTATAAACTTCCCAGGCACATCCTTCTTCAACAGACAATCCCAGAGAACAGTCCTATCCAACGAATCGAAGGCAGCCCTGATGTCAAGAAACACTACGATTGTTGGCCTTTGATAAGTATGGCGGTGTTCTAACATTTGGCGAAGGGTGAAGATATGATCAATACATCCTCGACCAGAACGAAACCCAGCCTGCTCCTCGCGAGTCAATCTTTCTCGAGTTTTGAACAACCTACGAAGTATGACGGAAGCCAATAGCTTGGACGCAATCGGAAGTAGACTTACCCCACGATAGTTGTTACAGGAACAACGTGAGCCCTTTTTAAAGATAGGGACAACTATCGACTCATTCCACGACGTTGGTACACTCTAGTTCCCAAACCCTTATAAACAACGTCGTCAGTTTCTTAGCCAGAAAGTCATAATCATCTTTAAAAAGAAAGGGAAACACCTTACTGCTGTCACACCCCTCTACAGTCAGCAGTACGACTTTCCCCTTAGACCTTGAGTTACTGCTCTTAGTTTTACCGTTCTTCAATCAACCAGCCTGGCATGGTAGAACCTACAGAAACATATGTTCCAGTCAATATAGCTCGTTTGGGTCATCACGATAAGCAAGCCCGACCATCACGTCAAGATAGCAGCTAGGGTCGGGCTGTTGCATAGATACTAATTGACAATCAGTTTTCAATGAAACTAAGTACATTATATTTACTTAACTAGTTTAACAGAAATCACTTGTATTGATATGTAATAATTTCTGATTAAAGACCACAGAATTAACATTTAGAAGTCAGGCAGTAGATAACAAATATAAATATGCACTTGGTAAACCAGTTGACTAAATTAAAAAGTATTTATATTTATTCAGTGATATTTTTTACAATATCGAAAGAAAATACTATCACTATGTAATTTACAAGTCAAATACACAACTTCAGGTGTTGTAACTGATCGGTGAAAAATTGTTCACATGTGAACACCCTTTTAATGGTGTACTTGTTAACACTAAAAAGTAAGAATTTACTGTTAAATAAATGCAAACAAATAAAAACTGCCTATGTGTTTGTACGTGGAAACATAAGTTGATCAGTGGTGGTCGACAAAAAGATATGGACCGATATTTTATGCTAGTTGAAACATTTGTCACTATACTATTTCTAAGAAACCGCTCTTCTTCATGACTTTCAAATCGATGCTCATTCTCACCACCTACGAATAACAATGTGAATTAGATTTTTTTTCTTCTAACATGAATAATATCACTAAAATACCAAACATAATGTGAATTCTCTTAAAACCAATCGGTTTTATCAAACCTCAGAGATTTCTAATATCATAGTTAAATAAATTCCAGCAAACAATGAGAATTAAACAGTATCAGAGTGGGTTTCTGTGGATAATATAGTTATTTTAATAGTTGAGATCATGAGTCAATTGAAGTTAGACCACCATGGAAAACCTGGAAGCACTGGATGATCATTTCATCCTATTGTGATTCCTGCAGCACTGCACTGCCACGATCCCGCCTCGTGAGATTCGAACTCAGGATCAATCAGTCTCGCATGCGAGCGCTTAACCAACTAGACTATTGAGCTGGTTAACATCCAACGGTGTTAATGTCTAACTTCAAATAATCCACAAAACTGAGTGACACATCCACCATTGTCTTTAGTGAGTTACTATCTCATAACAGACCCGATCGAACTTCACTGGTCACTACTTCTCACTTGAAGCTACTCACTAATAAATATATGTTGAATAATATCAGAAGGGTAATTGGTTATATCAGTGTATGTCATATAAATACAAACTCAATGATTTCCGTCTAGTTCCAGACTTAAGTTTGTCTCAAACTCCCTATAATAAGTAAAGTAGTCTTACTTCACCAATGTGAAACTGTATTTCATTACCAAAATCAGATATATCCTTGATCACTAAGAATTACTAGTTTTATCAACATTATAGTATAAAATCTTGTTTATAGATGATTCAAAAATCCTAATGACTATAAAATTATTAACCGATTAACATGTAGTATACCTTAGAAGCGTTGAAAATGTTCAATGAATTACAACTACAGAAATGACGAAACAGTATGCTCAAACCGACTTATCAATTTGTATAGTTATTTATTTATTTATTTTAACACATAGATATTGGTAAAAAGAGGCACCAAATACATATGCGCCACACAGATCTCATTTGATATGTGTAAGGGCTGTGATACTGCCCGGGTGCCCAAACCGAAGCAGACGGTTTTCTTAGGGGGCCACACTCGGAACCTTCGACCTAAAGGTCTGATCCACAAGGCAATGGGGCAACGTAAGGAGATGCAATCCCATGGTAGCCGGTGACCA